ACGGCCCTTTTGAACACCATTGGCAATCGCTCGACGGACCAAGAGACCCGGTGCATCCATGGTCATGCCATCGTCAATTGGGCCCCATGAGCAAGAATAGATCTGGTTGTCCTGGAATCCATAGTTAACGGCTTCGGCTTCATCTGCATCATTGATATACTTCGACAGGATGCGAATTCCAGCAACTTTGCTATCGTATGCAACACCCACGCCGCAGGCATTATTGTGAACTGCTGCAACCTCGCCGGCACATCTAGTGCCATGTTTATCGTCATCGAGCATAGGTCGAGGTTCCGCTTTCATCTCGTTAAAGTCATAGGAGCCTTTCGCAAAGTAGTTATCCTTGAGATCATTGCTGTACATATCCAAGCCATCGTCAACAATGGCTGAAATCGACCCTTTCCCAGTAATACCTTCCAGCCACAAACCCGTTACATTGAGATCGTTTCCGGGCGTAAACGCGTTAAACAGATGCCATTGCTCCTTGAACAAGGGGTCTCGTATGGCTAGGGCGTTTGCAATCTCACCCTGCCTCGACTGGGCTGCAGGATCTGGAGCCTTTTCAGGTATACGTTGACTGAGCTCAAGCGGCGGCGGAGGCACTCGTTTATGGAGTCGTTTCCTCGGGACCAGCTTTTCTGACCATAGTATCCCGTCCAGTCCATCTGTCCCGGCAGGCTCGCCACGGGCTTCCAACGATCTCCGCCGCAGAGACCTTCTCTTGAGGTCTTCGAGTATCCCATCCAGGTCTACACCTCTGTCCTTTTTTATGGAAAACGTGTGATGCCCATCCAGCTCTCCTATCTGGCCTTCATGTCTAGCTCCTAGTAACTCTTCTACCTGGGCTGGCGAGACGGAGGAGTGTAGATGGACCGCAAAGTAGTCGAGGGCGTCGTAATCTCGGCGGTATAACGCAGCGTCGACGGCACCAGCGCCGACCAGCAAGGCCATGAGGCGGAATATGTTTCGGAGCTTCATGTTCAGCGTCTCTTTCTGTCTCCTGGGAACACCGCGAAGAACCGGGGGGTGGATTTCAATCCGGCGGAATTTATCGATTGGCGTTCATTCGACTCGGCCCCGGTTAGAGAGCAGACTCGCGCCTATATTTTCCTGAACTCGAAGGACAAAAAGAAGAACAGGTAAGCCTGCGAGGTTATCTAGGAGTACAAGAGAGGGAGAAGGGAGGTTGGTAGAAGTAGGTTGCTGGTCCAGGGAGCGCCGGTCGAGGGTTGTAGGTGTTTGAACTTCTCGGAGCTGGGAGACACGTTGATCATAACGCAGGTCAAGCGCAAGACAGGGCGGACTCTCGTGTCTTTTTCCACCAACAAAAGCAATGCTTGGTTGCTTATTACTTAGGTTCCGCTGCTTCAGAGACACTGGACTCCCTGCTTAATCTTATATTGCGCCTCTGCCGTTCTTCGCGTTGCTTTCGAACTTGTATCTACAGAGAGCAATTGGCAGGCCCCTTGCTGGGTTGACCGCTACGATTACGATACTCGGCTCCTTTGTCTGTCTTCCAACACTGTCCTTCAACACGTTCCAAGCCAGCCTTCTACCATCCTCTGCTGTCTATCCCCTAACTACTCCGTACTTGACCCCCACCGAGCCTCGTTCGTCCTGCTCCTCCCCGTCGCCTCCTTTTCTCCATTCCGCCTTTTGCCCCTTTTTTCTCCTTGTGAATTTTTGCTGTTTTTCTTCTTCTTTTCTCCATAAAAAAAAACTGAAGGGAGAAAATAGAGTCACGTGAAAGCGTTATTGACGGATTATAGTTATTCCAATTGAGAATTTTCTTGATTTGTGATAGGTTGATTATTTTGTTAAAAGACAAATTTTCATTGGAGGTTCTCTGGATCAATGGAATAAACGAGGCAATGCGTATATTCCATAGGCATCCTAAACTATGAGAATTGCTATCATTTTCAAACAACTGCTGGATAGATATCCAGATGGAGTTGCCAGGGTGACGGTAATGTTTTCTCGCAACATAAGTTCTGATATTGCCAACCAGTCGCCGCGGGAAATCTGCTGCACAATGACCAGGGTGCCACCGTTACCCAGTGTTTTGACTATCTGCACAATTAACATGTCGAATCCTGGAAAGTTGATGTAAAACAATCTCTTTGGTTAATAAAAACCTCCTAGACTTTGCGGCGGCATAATTTATGTAACCCCTTTGCTGGAGCGAGATACCTTTCGGCGTTACTATTGACCTGCCTGCAAATAGCAGGAATGTAGTTTCATACCTAAGCGACATATTAAACGATTTTATCGGACTTGAGAGCCTCGGAGACATCTAGAATTCCCATACCAGGGGACTCAAAAGGCCTCTGCGCTCTCTACAGCCGGGGAATGAAAGTAAAGGAAGATCTTGGGCCTACAAGCGGCCAGAATAGCAACCTGTCTAGTGGAAGACAGGTTAGTATCGGCAGAGACATAGACGTATCCTATGCCTAGTATGGTCAATATGTAGGTGACTGTATATATATACACCTCCTACTTCCATAAATTTCGAGTCGTTTCCAAGTTGGTTCGTTGGATATCTTGCAGCTTCCTTGTTCTCTTTGGAATCTCATGGAAGTCATCAAACTACCCAGTCAGTAGAACCTGCCTGTGTTGTTCCTTTGTGGGGTGTGTTGCTGGTTCCCATTTTAGAAGTAAAACGCGTCTGTCCCGCGCCAGCACAACAATCCCTTCTTCTTCTTCGTCTTCTTCTTCTACTTCTTCCTCGCCTTCGACTTCGACTTCGACTTCGACTTCGACAAGCTCATCTTCATCAAGTTCATTTTTATCACGTTCTTCTTCTTCTTCGACTTCTTCCTCGACTTCAACTTCTACTTTGACTTCGACTTCACACTCACCATCTTGGCCCTGTCGTGACGACAGGCCGGCCTTCCTCCCCCGATAACCGCTTTCTTCTCTGCGTCTGCTGGGGTATTGGACTTCGTTGTACACAGAGTCGACTTCCTCCTCCTCTGCCTTCTCCCTCCTGACCATCGTTAATACCAGGTGAGGCAAATTGATATTGTGATTTGACGTTCAAGTCTCTGATTTTTACAATAATTAACTTAGTTAGTAAGCATGAAACGATCGTGCCCCCAGGACGAGAATGCACACGCAAGAAAACGTCATCGACCAGGAGGGCAGGAGGCGGCTGACCCGCTAGTAGAAATAGAGGCAAGTTCAAAGATAGTTAACTTCCCACTCAGCGAACACCAGCATCTAACACTATCGAACAGGGCCAAAATTGGCAGGGTATCATATCTAAAGAGCTGAAAATTATGCCTGGAGACACAGAAGAAAGTGTTGCCCGAAGCCTTCAAACGACAGATTTTGTCTTTGACCGAAGCCAGCGCGTCTGTGGAAACCAGGATGGTGTTGGCCTACTCCAAGAACTCCGAGGCTTGCGTAAAAGGGTTGAAGAGTCAGAAAAAGCGTTGGAGGAGACGAATAGCAACTTCAGAAAAGCGTTAGAGGAGACGAAGAGCGAGTCTCAGAGAGCATACGACGCCTCAATCATGACCATGATGGAGCTTCGAGCGCCGATTTATCAACTACATTCAGGTCACAAGGTAGGCCCAAGTTATCGAGCAAAAAGAAATGCAGTCGCTCACGGCGGCTCCATACTGATGGACATTACGATCTTGCGCCATCTACTCAGCAGCCGTGGCCGCACTACCGTTTTTACCAAATGGGCCACCGGGTTTGAAGATATCTACGGGATACCCTTCCGCTATGTCGAAACTCTTTCTCAAGACTCTAAAATGGTGTCCGTCCTGAACATTTACGCCGATACACTACTTCTCCACATGTATGCTTCCTATGATGAGAGCGAAACTATCCAAAAAATGTGCAAGGTAATTTTGAGACAATGGAAAGTTGCCGTGGATAGCGAACGGGATCCAGAATGTATCTTTGATGGGGAAGCTCTTTTGACGATGTATAATAAGATTGTGGAGTTACATAGTGCAGCCGAGCCATAGAAGGCGAAAAATTATTACTTTTATGCTGCGTGCGGGATGGTGATGCAGCACGACCACTTATCTACCAAGTCATGGATTATATACGTGACATCCCCAACCTTCCGCCTCTGCCGGAGACTGTGGTAGACGAGTTTGAGTCATGAACACAGCATGTACAGCCAACGTTAAACCATCTCAAAGTTCCAATCTTTCTCGGCCATGGCTCTGCGGATCCTAAGGTCTTTGTCCACCACGGAGAAAGGGACGTCTAATTTGCTGTCAGAGTAGCTCAAAATGAATGTTACATGGAAAATGGTATCCCGAGTTTGGAAATTGGCACAAGATTCCAGACGAAATCGATGACATTGTTCTGTTTTTGGAAGAGAAGGTTGACGATTCCCTGGTCATTACCAAGGCTATATAAAGGGACGTATTGTCTCTATGTCCTTTGTCTTCATAGAAGCTCAAACCACGTAGTCTCCCGGTTACTCCGTATATGCTGGTGGAAAATACCGGAATAAATATCATATCTTTCAGGTTGTCTGGAGAAGAGAGGAGCAAAGAAGACGACTTGTAGTGGGACGTATCATTGACTGGAGGCTGTTCTAGAGCAAGGCAGTTCTTTGTTCTTTTCGATCGAAGAGAAAGAGGCCCAAGGATTAACAAAATGCCTTTATTGCAGCATCACTGGCACAGATATCATGCAGCAATTCCGCGCATCACAGTTCGCTTGTATCTTCGCTGTGCAACATTCACGCTAATCAACGCCACTCTACGTTCTTTCAGTTCTCTGAGCAAACGAACATACCTGGTCATTCAAGTCTGGCCCGCCTGGGGTTTGTTAGGCTTAGGGCCGGGAAGTTTGATCAATCTGGGGATTTGAGTGGGCTGAGATGGCTCCTCGTGTTTTGCCTGCATGGCAGGCACATTTTCTCTTCCATTGAGACGGATTACTCCTGGCTGCAGATGTTCATGTAGTTCGTGATTCAAGCGAGACCTCGAGTCAATCCTTGAAGTCAGCTGGGTTGCGACGGGGTTTATATGCAAACTTCTAGAGCTAAGATCCAACCATCCGAGTCAAAACCAGACCGTGTCACTGTCATGACAATGCTAACCAGGCCTGCTCTCGTTAAGCATGTCCAATTCACGGCTAGGCAGTTGATGTACAGGGGTACATCAAGCAGCTCTCTGCAAGTCCACCATTTCTTTGAGCATTGTGAATACATGGCTGAAAGAGGGTATATATTGGTGGAGGTTATCAGGCCATATATAACGCGCCTGAGGGTACGTCCATCCCAGTTATCATCTTTCTTCCCCTTTTCCTTGACTTGGTTTGCTTGGCAGTTGAGAGCCAACCTATATAATCGCTATCCAATCCAGGCCCGTCTCAGATCTGATAGTCTCGAGGACGTTCGTTTACATACAGATTACACCCCTAGAAATGGAGGAGATAAAGAATTTATTTTACCCCTTGAACCCGCCATGCCGTGTTCGCACACGGCCGATGGAAGTGCTATGTGTTGGGCCTTCTCGGAGTGGCACCTGGTCCCTTCGGACAGCATTAATACACCTTGGCTATGTGCATACCTACCATGGATATGACGTTGTTATGAATCCCCCAGACGATAAAGCATGGTACCTCCTTCATCGTCAGAGACTGAAGCACAATGCAAGCCATCCTAATTCGGCACAGCTCTCTATTACCGCTGCAGATTTTGACAGAGTGGTGGGCCATTGTGCCGCCATGACGGACCATGCTGCCGCGGTCTTCGCTGCTGAGCTTATAGCAGCATACCCCAAGGCAAAAGTTATTCTGAACACAAGACGCGATGTCAGAGCATGGCATAGGAGCGTGAAGAACACAATTATCGTGCACTCAAAGGACTGGATGTTTTGGCTGAAAAGTTTCTTCCATGCTGAGCTCTTCTGGGCCCAGCAAGGTTATTATCGAGGTACCCTGAACTGGTTTTACCGAGGCGATTTTCAAAAAAATTCCATCAACGTTTTGATGGAGCACTGCGAGCGGGTACGGAGTCTCGTACCCAAGGATCAGCTGCTGGAATGGGATGTTGAGGACGGATGGGAGCCACTGTGCAAGTTTCTCGGCAAGGAAATCCCAGACATTCCCTTTCCCAGGACCAACCTCCATATCGTTCTTCAAGAGGTGTGAAGAGTGCTATAACGCACAGGTGCAGAAGGCGACTAGAAATATGTACGTCTTCTTTACCTTGCTGCTCTGCATGCTCACCCTCTATGCCGTCATCTCATGGCGATAGTGACCGAAGTTCGTCATACCCTCTGACCCGACATTCTTTTGCCAGTTCAATGTATCAATGGCGTTCAGATCTAGGAAGCTGTCCACGTAAATGACGTGCGCGACTTTTTTTTATACGACGGACTCTTTTCGCTTAATAACATGGTTCCCGAGCGGCAAGAAGCTTAAAATAGCCGCCTATAAATATCTGTCTAGTTGACGCTTTGCGGGCCAAAACTAAACACTTCTTTGCCTTCTTAGTTGGCATCTCGATTCTTCGGCAGGCGAGCGCATAGTTGGTTGTTTTTCCGGAAATGTTGATCATGTTCATACTGGCGAAAAGGAGTCTACGGCCTGCGTGTTTGTAACGCCGTTCCAAATGCTACAAACTTTTTTTTTTTCCTCGTTTCTGCCCTGATGCCCAAACCCACGAAGTCACGACGTTTCCTTTTATTTGATTTATTTTTTGTTTCTGGGTGTCTCCATTTGTTCCTATAAGCTTATAATAATATGTTTACGGCTGCTATAACGATAGTTGTGGGGTGGCTGCTGTGGTTCCTCCCGGCCAGCTTCATCCAGCGTGCCCCTCAAGACTGGCTCATCAGTATTTCGCACCGCCTGAAGCATAGCCGAAAAATCAATGATTCAAATTGGGGCGACCCTGTTGTCCGGATCACTCGTAATATCGTCGCCAAGTACGGCCCCGGTGTCTCTCCCGGCGAAGCGGCGACTCAAGAATATGCCTATCAACACCTCGATCCCAAGATCGTTCAGGTCCCGAGAGTGTATCGCTATTGCCAGCACCGTGAATCTCTGGATGCCAAGTTGAACGGCTACCTCTTCATGGAATATATACCCGGCCAAAATCTGAAAACTCGGAACAACATTGGCTCAGACAGTGAGATCACAAGGAAACTGATCAAGATAATTGCCCACCTAGGGCAGATAGCCGGGGGAAGTGTGCCTGGCCCTGTTGGCGGCGGCATACCCCGAGGGACTCTGTGGGGGGATGGTGGCGCCAAAAGGGAGTTCCGGTCCCTAGAAGACGTGAATGACTGGGTCAACAAGCGGATTGAGCCAATTGACGAGACCGTTGACCTGACGCCCTACCCGCTTGTTCTTTGCCATATGGATCTATGCCGTCGGAACATGGTACTGAAAAAAGACGAGTCGATATGTCTGCTTGACTGGGGCTATGCTGGATTCTATCCGCGGTTCTATGAAATGGCAGCCATAAGGTGCGGCAATGATCATTATAACACTCCCCTATTTGAAGCTACTTCCAAGGCAATCCCTTTGACAGAGGAAGAGCTTCGGTGCATGGATTTGGTTATCAGGGCCCCCGATGCCAGCTTCCAATGGACCTTGTAAGTTAGTCCGAAGCAGGCTTTCTGTCCTATTAGTCTAACTATGATGTAGTGATCGGCATCTGTATTGCAAATCTTCTTCGCCCTATGCCAACTATAGGTGAACCATAGGGTACCTGCTAAGTCTGTTATACCCACGATGGTTATCTCCACCAAAGCCGTGTCTCAAACCACCGTTAGCTATAGAACCACCAGGTAGAAGGTACTGTTCATTATGCATGACTTTTATTTTTTGCTTTCGGCACATATTAACTCTATGGTTGATTATTTCGTCTTTCTTCTAGGGAGCATTCGAGTTTCAAAGACCCTTTCTGAACCTGCTATGCGATTCAATGTACATTCAACTCGACTCGATACATATAACCTAGCTTACTCGACCAATAATAGTGCTTTAATCGACAACAAAAGGCTTGTTGCTGCATGACGTTTATCATGTAGTTATCGCATGCAAAGTATGAAACAAGGCGGCTCGCATTGGCCCGTTTAGCCTCCAACCTGCTGCATCAGCTGGCCAAGGTGACTGTTGAAGACACTCGATATCGTCCTACAGCACTCAGCTGCTCGACAACCGCGTAGTCCTGGGTCGCTGCAGCGTAGTCCTGTAGATATAGAAGCCTGCTAAGTGGCAAAACGACCAGCGACCAAGCTTTGAAAAGCCGGCAAAGCCGTTGTTCAACCGTGGATCTCGCCTTCAACGCCCGCGCAGGCACGATTTCTCCGACTATACAACGGCAATGACAACCGCCCGCCTGGAGTGTTAACATGCGAACTGCACCATCATTTGCGCACTGCCAGCCATCCCTGGCCGGCGGATGCTGTGTATGCAGGGAGTCGAGGCCGGGCGCCCAATGACGTGGAAGCGCAGCCAGCCACCGCAAGGCCTGTCGCACCGCCGACGTCGTGGCCACCACCCTTCGCATCGCCTTTTTCTCTCGATTGACGAGGCAACTCAGCTGTCACCATCCTGCTGTTCGCCGTTGTGCTGTTGAATCGTCCGTCTGCCCATTGGAGTCCTTAGCTGGCGTCTCCTTCACCACAGGTACGTCCCCGGCCTGCCGTCACCAAGGTTAGCTCGGTAACTAACGAGTTAGTTGACTGCTAACTGCTAGTTTTCTGGCAGATCTAACAAACAACCGCTCCCGTTTGTCACTCTGGAGGAGCACAACTGCTGCAAAACACGCCAGAGCTGCTTCTCAGGACGCTGGCAGGCTAGCGATATCATACTGCGGGATAAGGTGAGCCTCTGACTTTCTCACTGATAAATATTGCCTTCGAAAGAGTGTCTATCAGCTAACCTGCATGGACTATCAGTTGCCCGTTCCGCCAGACCGACCTTTCTCTCCTCCCCCCTCGCAACGCCCAAGGCGTGGTTAATGTTGAAGATACTATGTTGCTGGAGGCATTGAACTGAAACCTTTCACCGAAGAGCAACATCTCACAGCACTCACCGCACAATGCCTTCCAGAAGAGCATCAAGACCGTATGATGAATCCCAGAACTACAGCCCAATCCAGAGGAGAAACGGGACAATGCATCAGAGTGGCTATCCAGACCAGCCGCAGGCCCAAGATGATTATGATACACCAGTAAACTCTCGAGGCCAACCTTCCCAATCTATGTCATTTGCACACCGAGCCAAAGAGCGTGGGCAAGATGAATTACCGTACGAGTCAGTCTCGCCCAACGGAGCACAGAGCCCCCTTATGAACCCACCTATGAGCCCTATTAGCACATACCAGAAAGCAAACTCGCAATCACCGTCGATACAGCAAAATCCGGCATCACCAGATATAAACTCACCGCCACATTCACAAGCCAGTGTCGAAGCCTCACCTGTGATGCGCCAAAACTCGCAGATGGCCCCGAGACAGAAGAAGACAGCAAAGGAATGGGCACCAGCACGCTCGCCGTTGAAAAAACTTGAGCTCACGCTAAATGATATAAGCAAGGAAGAAAAGCGCGCAAGAGTCGAGGAGGCTGAGATGCTACTGAGAGAAGCTCGGGCAGGTCTCCAAGGCAAGACCATCAGCCGTGATGCAGGCGGTAAACCCCATCTTGCTCCAGAGAGTGCTAGGAATAAGGAGAATGCGTTCAAACCTTCAAATATTGAGGAAGCTGGCTTACTGAGGAGTCTAAGCACCAAGCAAAAGGACAAGATCCGTGAAAGCGCCCAGATGGAACTGAAAAAGCCAGACCCAGACCAGGTCTCCGATGCTCAAGCGGGTGGATTCGAGTATGAGAGAACTCATCCTCCGCCGGGTTATGATTCACCCACTTCTTTGAATCAGCCCGCAAAAATCCCGGATAATCATCATGGCCAGCTTCCAGGAGCTCCACTGCCGAAGGACAACCAAATACAGCAAACACGAGAACTGTTTGAACCGCCCGCTGGAGAAACTTGCTCAGGAGCAATCGATTCAGAAGCTTCTCAGGCTGAAGATACGAAGAATGGCCCGAGCAAGCAGAAGCACGCTTCTGTTTCCTTTGCGGTTCCTCCGCCGACACCCCCGCCAGTATCTGAATGGATGCATGCAGTAGTTGGACGGTTATGTTTGACCGATTTTGACCTCCGGGTACCGGATATGGACAGGGATTGGAGAGGACGGGGGACCAGGGGAACTAGAAATGCCCACAGAGGAGTCGAGAGCGGTTTACCTAGAGTCACACTCAAGAGTATGTTTTCAGGATGCGGGTGATTCCATCTTTTCGTTCTTTTTATGAGTGCTAACTTGTGCGGCCCAGAAAACACGCCATTTAACCCGCCTCTATATCTAAAGTGTGGGCCTCTCCTTCGATTCACAGGCACAACCAAGGAATTAGTAGATCTGCCAAATGGCCCCTGTGAGCGAGAGATTTGGCGAGGATCTATCATGATCGTTACCCAGGACTCTGCATCATTCTATGACACCCCGCCGACATTGAGGATATTCTCTCAACCGAAGGAGCTGATACCACCACCCCCGTCCAGTGATCCAAGCGACCACGATTCACCTCTAGCACCAGAATATGTTGACCCCATAGCCGGCCTAGGAAAAATAGGTAGAAACGGTAACTTGCTTTATGTCAAGCCTGTGGATCATATAGAAGAAGGCCTGGATCTTTGCTATGACGAAACCGAGGAAGGCCTATTTGAACGGTCTCCTAGCCAAATTGACTATGCCGCTAGTCGTCGTGTATCAATCCCACCTGATACCAGGATCCAAGGGATTGACGGAGAAATGGTTGGGAAATACAAGGTGGTCAAGGCTAGCCGGGTATACATAGACCCTGGTAGGGATACCACGTTCTGGCGATTCAACCTAGAAATCGAACTTGGAGACAAGGAGGAACATGTTGCATACCGTATCAATAATGGCTCCGTGGTAGGTTTCTGGGTGCCTGCCAGAGGCCAGGCAATGAACATTTTATACCACACCGGAAATGGATTTGGTATGTCCGTTGATACCGACAAGTACAGTGGCCCCGACCCTATGTGGCGGGATGCTCTGAACGCACACCAGTCGCGTCCATTCCACGTCATGATTGGCGGAGGATCACAAATCAACAATAACGCCATTACTGTGGAAGCTGACCATTTCCGAAAATGGATCGAAATAAAAGGGAAGAACGAAAAGCATGAATATCCCCTGAACCTGGACATTAAGGGAGAACTGGAAGAATTCTACCTTGAGAATTATGCAGCTTGGTTTTCGCAGGGCCTGTTTGGCATGGCATGCTCTCAAATTCCAATGGTTAATATGTGGGATGATAACGACATTATTAGCGGCTACGGCTCGTTTACGGATGAATTGATGAAATCCCCTGTTTTCTCGGGGCTAGGAAATGTTGCATTCAAGTATTACTTGCTCTTCCAGCATCAGACTGCAATTGAGGAGACGGAGGAGCACGAACCAAGCTGGCTTCTTGGATCGGCCGAAGGACCATATATCCGGCAAAAGAGCAGAAATCTGCTCATGAACTTGGGTGAAAGAATAGGTCTTTTGGCAATTGATTGCCGCACTGAACGATCGGTAAGAGAAGATGCCCGTTGTCTCGAATTACCAGCAGTATCAATACTAATTTCATGACACAGAAAATGGATATTATGATTGATGAGAGTTATGACCTTATCTGGGATCGATGTCACCAACAGATTGTGAAGGGAGAAATGAAACATTTACTGGTACTGGTTGGAGTTCCGGTTGCTTTCCCGAGACTTGTAAGGACCACATTAAATTCTCGCCTGGCTGAATAATTCTAACAGTTGAAATAGTCGTTGATTGAGGGAGTTCTCAAAGGCCCTGCAAAGGCTCTTGGGAGGAACGGTGTCTTCCGCAACGCAAGCACTAAGATTGAAAACACTTCAGAGAAGATGGACGATCAGTGGACTTCAAAACAACACAAACTTGAACGGAAATGGTTGATAGAAGATTTGCAAGAACTTGCGGCTGAGAAATCGATGAGAGTGATAATATTAGGGTATGCGTCACTTATCCCTTGTTCGTCATGTTATGAGAAACTGTCTATACTAATTTTTCTTTTCGTTCCAGGGGCGGAGCCAACCTTGCGGCTGTTGGACAGTTCTACTCAGACCCCAGCCTACAGATACCCAAGGACAAGGACTACAGATACATGCCAAATGTAATATCTTCCCCAATAGTGGACGCTCCCCTCTCAGAAATCATGACCGATACCCTCAACAAGCGCAACAAGGTACATACCTTGGACCTCAAAACAGTTGAGGATATGCGAGCAATGTTTTGGCATGATGTTGAAGGACGGCCGCGAAATAACAAACGACTGCTACCCCGAAGAAACTGGTGCTCTATCAGAGAATACACTCCAGGTATGTTGTTATTCGCTGGTCGCTATAGACCCTTATAAAAAGATAAAAGTAAGCACCTCTAGTTACTAACGGGCCGTCGGTAGGATGCACTCCTCCCGCTACACCCCCGCCAGAACCCACTTCCCCGGCTTCTCCGGCATCTTCTGCCGATATGCGTCCCGGAAGGCTAGGGAGAACACTTTCTATGTCTCGCGGTGACAGACCTGCTAATGGCCTTATGCGGCGGCTGTCCCTTAAAGCTCAGCGTCCGCAGATAAGTCATCCCATCCCGAAGGATCAGTTTACCCAGCGTATGAGCTATGATGAGCCACGATTGCGAAGGGACAGTGTAAACCAGTTACCAGAGCAGACATACAGTGACGCCCAGTTACCACAAAACCCGAGCTACGCCGACGCAGACGGCGACAGTTCTTCATTATCAAACAAATTTGTGCGACGCCGCACTGATCTCAGTATTCGAGAGATCAAACAGGCAGCCAAGGGCGGTCCAGACCAGCACCACTTTATTAATATTGAAGGCGGGTTACATATCACGTTCAACTGCGAGGTCAAGCCCCAAGATCCGGCCGGGATTACAACGCCTTACCATGTTCTTATCCCGGCGTTATCGTTTGATGGGGAGTTTGAACCCAGCGTTGAAGTTGAGAAAAAGCAATGGTGGAAACTGGGGCACCGCAAAAATAACAGCAGTGTTGCACAAATCGACGGTGCTGAGCCAGTAGCAGGAGCAGCAAAGGCGGCGAATGACGAGCAGCAGCAGCAGCAGCAGCAGCAACAGCCTCAGCACCTGCAGCAGGTCGAGAACGATGCATACCACAACTACGGCCGTCCCATTACTCGGGAATCTAGGCAAGGATACTATGAGGACGAATATGATGACGATATCAATGTCCGGGGCTCTCCACGCCACGCGCAATATGCGGTCCAAGGTCGGCCGGGCGAGCTATCGTCCCCCAGAATGCTTCCCCAGCCGCCGCCACAGCAGACTCAGGGCAAACAACATCATTATTTCAATGCTGCTGCCATGAACCCGGCTAATGGCGGTGAGCATGGATACGAGGGGATAGAAGCATACCGTCCAAGGAAGAAAAAATGGCTGGGTATTCTTTGAAATCCAGCGAGATCATCTGCCGTTCTAGACAACAAGACAAGATCGCAGCCACTTACTCAGCAGTGGATCTCGCCCGCCGGGTAGTCAGGTTAGCAAAGATAAGGAATCATGGGGAGGAAACGAGGGGCAGGAGTCTGTCTATGTATCTGTAGCATGTTTCATCCATGTTTTAGTTTTTCTGGATCTGTCATTAGAGGCGTTCATCGAATTTATGCATCTCTCCAGCCATACAGAATACTCACAGCAATTTTGGCAGGCCCCGATTGGCACCTCGCCTCGGCCCGCCGCAGTCTTTCTCGCACTCCCGAGGCCCCTATTGGCCTGTAGCCTGCCAATCACATTGCCATCGCCGTCGCTCCCTCCCTCGCTGGTCTCAGATAATCATGTTTCCCCCTATCGCCCCCTACTCGCCCCATCTGCAAGGGGCTGAAACCCATATCACGTGACCTGCGAGAATATCCGGCGTTTCTTTTTCGCTTGATTGGTAATTTCGAACGTTCGAATTTCTAAGACCGCGAGCTCCAGCAGACTCAAGACCGTCAACAACAGCATCGATTGCGCTCGCCGGCCGCTGGTTACGGAAGCGCAAATGTCAGCCTGCCCGGCTAGCGTCTGCCCCGGTCTTCTTCGCCAGCGTCCAGATTGCCTCTCGCCGTCTCCACCGCGCAAACCCTGCGGCCACCGCTTCGTCTTCTCGCTGCTCGCAGAGCCTTTAAAAGCACCACCGCCACCCTGTTTCCCTCATTCTTTCGCAGATTCCCCTTCACTTCAGTCCAATCTAGCGTTGGACTCTCTTTGGCCGCCGTAACCTCCGTCCAGCAGCGAACATCCGCCTCCCACCCTTCCTCCGCGTTTAAAACTCCAATATCAAGCAGAATGGCTCACTCCAAGGTCGTCAGTAAGTGGGCTCGGAGACAACCCCCCGCCTCTTCCCAGCTTATAGAAATTTAATCGGGATGGGACTAATGAACGAACAACAGTCATCGGCTCCGGCCCTGCCGCCCACACCGCCGCCATCTACCTCTCCAGAGCTGAGTTGAAGCCGGTTATGTACGAGGGTATGCTTGCTGGTGGCACCGCTGCCGGCGGTCAGCTCACCACCACCACCGAGGTCGAGAACTTCCCGGGTTTCCCCGAGGGCATCACCGGCCCAGAGCTCATGGACAACATGCGCAAGCAGTCTGCCCGATTCGGCACTGAGATTATCACCGAGACCATCTCCAGAGTTGACCTCTCGTCTCGCCCATTCAAGATCTGGAAGGAGTACGCTGACGGCCCTGATGCCCCTCCTACCCGCACTGCCGATGCCATCATCATGGCTACCGGTGCCAACGCTAAGCGTCTGAACCTGGCCGGTGAGGAGAAGTACTGGCAAAACGGTGTCAGTGCCTGTGCTGTCTGCGATGGTGCCGTCCCAATCTTCCGTAACAAGCCACTCTTCGTCATTGGTGGTGGTGACTCTGCCGCCGAGGAGGCCATGTTCTTGACCAAGTACGGCAGCAGCGTCACCGTCCTCGTCCGCAAGGATCATCTCAGAGCCTCCAAGACCATGGCTACTCGTCTCCTCAACCACGCTAAGGTCGAGGTCAAGTTTAACACTGTTGCCACCGAGATTACCGGTGAAGCCGCTGATGGCGGTCTGATGACCCACTTGAAGATCAAGAACGTCGTTACTGGCGCCGAGGAGGTTGTTCCTGCTAACGGCCTCTTCTACGCTGTCGGCCACGAGCCCGCCACCAAGATCGTCAAGGACCAGGTTGAGTGTGATTCTGAGGGATACATTGCTACCAAGCCCGGAACCAGCTTCACCAGCGTACCCGGTGTCTTTGCTGCCGGTGACGTCCAGGACAAGCGATACCGACAGGCCATTACCAGTGCAGGTACGCATTCTCACTTGTTCAGCAACTAATTTTTATCATTATAAAAGAGAACCATTGCTAACATGTAATCTTTTTAGGTTCTGGTTGTATTGCCGCTCTTGAGGCTGAGAAGTACATCTCCGAACTCGAGAGTGAAGCAGAGCCTGCTGCTGCCCATGAAGCTGCTATCAAAGAAGATACCAACCCCCAGCTTTAAATGTGCTTTTCTGCGTTGAAGCGCTCATGACATGATTGCATTGATACATTTCCTTTAGATTTCACACTTATGTAGATATCCCTGCTCTTTATAGACAGATGCTTGTGTTATTCAAAATTTTGCATTTTCCATCCCACCAATGAGCCTTTTGCATCGGTAAAAAATACCTGGACTCTTCAATACAGCACGTAGTATCTGTGTTACTGTCCATCCTCCCAACGAATTCATAATTATATCAATGGTAATGCTCCGTATTATTTGATTAATACTTGGAGAATAAATAAACAGATAATGTACACTTGGTCAAAGAAATCAAACGCTCCGCCGCCCAGTTTCCATCCGTGCATGTTCCCCCATGTCCAGGCTCGTAACTCCTATATGTTTTCCCCACGGTATAAAAACTCCCATAATGCTGACTAGCTGAAAAGGCCGGAAATGTATGTACAGCAAGAGAAGGAATGCTGCATCTATTCATCACAACCTCCTCGCCTTCTGCCTGCCATCCTGTATGCCATTAGCAGGGAAGTTATCCCGCATATTTTGTGCAAAAATCTCAAACGGATTCTCAGCACACCATTTATCCTTGATCTCATATGTTCGTCGTTCCCATTCGACTATCCTATCTTTCCACTTTGCAAAGTCCTCTTCATTCGTTTTTCGATGTACCTCCATCTGATCTAGATAGGGCTTCTTGATCTCATCGCTTGCATCACGCCACATTTGGCCAAGCGCTTGTCGGATTTCATCCCGGGGAGCCTTTGCGTTTTCTTTTCCTGTAGCTTTGATCTTGGCATTGTCGCATTCGGTCTTGCAAATATACCAGTAGTCTTTCTGGTATAGGAGGAAAGGGTTCAGCGCAAGTTTGCGAGGCCGAGGTTCTGCAGGGCCTAACTCAGAAATTATAGCTGCCCACATAGCTTCATCGTATGCTTTTCGTAATACATCTTCAGATGCATGTGCAAGAGGCGCAGAGGGTGATTCGTCGGATGGTCCGTTAGGATCAGACACGATCTTTCGTTTCTTCTGCGGAGAAGCAGAGGTTGGTGTCGTTGGCATGGATGCATTATTTGAAGCTCTGTTCTTTGCTGGTACAAGCGGGGATGGAATGTCAATCGGGCCAAGGAACGAGTCAATAACTTCGCTGGCTGCCCGAAGGCCGGAGAGATACGCCCCATGGACAGTTGCTGGGTGAGTTCCACAAGTAGCTTCACCGGCGAAGTATAGATTACCAATTGACTTGGCCATTGCATCGTAGTCGCCGGGTAATGCCTCAGCCGCTACATATGAGTAGCTTCCTTGCGCAAACCTGTCCTGCCCCCATCTCGTGACGATAGTCTCGAGGGGGTCGGGAACCGTCTTGTCTTTGAAGATATTCCTCAACTGTGAGGTGACACCCTTTATGATTTCCTGATCGGATAGATTTTCAGCCTCGTGGGCTGATTCTCCTGCCATAAGGGCAATGAGCATGGGCAATCCACAAGTCGCCATGCAGTTCCAGAAAAGATAGAATTGCCCCCGATTAGCACGGTAGTCATCTTGAGACATGCTGTTTTCAACCGTTGGCTCCCTTAGCAGGCCAAACATGTCTCTTTGCATATCCCAGAAAGGCTCTTTAAAGACAAGAATACCTTTGTTTAGCAAGCCGAAACCAAGGCGTTTAATCGCATTGGTTTTCCATTCTGGAAGTGGCGGGTTGAAAGCCACGGACGACCTCTTCAATACACCAAGAGGAGCCGTAAATACCACCCTGTCAGCATAAATAGATTCTCCATCTTCACACTCAACTCGAGTTTTCTCGTTCGATGTCGAATCAGCGTTGTACCATATTTTGGACACAATCTTTTTCGTACGAACATCTAGCTTTGACGGGAGAGACCATAGTCCTCGTGGTAACTGTTGGTACCCACCGACAACCTGGGCATGTTCTCCTTCAAACTCATTCCCCATGTCTTGATCCCAGCCGGAGAGACTGAGCTTCCCAACACTGGCAGCATTGGCGTATTCGAGATTAGCAAAATGCCAGTTGAGTAACCTCATATCTTGGGGAGTAAGGTCGAGAAGCCTCTGGTACTGGTTGATTGCGTCATCCATCACTGCGCCTAAATTCTGTGTGCTGGATGCATTGGCAATTTCATCGAGAGATAAAGAATCAGCAGGGGAAACATCGTGGCGTAACTTCCAGCCCATAGCTTGACAGGTCGTAGCGGCAGAATGCTCTTTTGTAGGCTGAAGCTCGGAAAGAGCTGGTCCAGCTGCTGGTTTGATATCGGTCGTCTTGTGCCCAACACCTCGTCGTAGTCTTGCGGCTGGTAACAGTGTCCCCGTGATCCCGGAAGCTGCTGCATCCTCATACTCTCTTATTGTTACCCCATCATCAGCAGATGTGTCTCTACCAGAGTCAATTAGCTCTCTATCTCCTTCGGCTGTAGGTGTGACGACCGATTTATGACGATATGTCCCTGATCTATCCAATATATCATTATACAGCTTTTCGGTCATTGAATCTCTCATTTCATCGACTGGGAGCCCATTTGTGTCATAGATTGTTGAAATATCACGGAGCAGATGGTAGCGCAGCGCAAGCTGGGCGCGTATGATTGGATCTAACGGGTTACCATGGTCAAACCCAACGATAATATGTGCTCCCATTTCTGCGGTAGGGCGAAGTCCCTGGGGCAATTCATTCGCCTCTAAGCTCTGTAGAGGATGAGAGTATATTCTGCCGCCTATTCGTTTCCGGCCTTCAAGTAGGATTATCTTGGGAGCTACCGAGTCGCCATAGTAATGTTGAAAAAGCCCCTGTAGCTGCCTGGCGCACCCCAACCCAGCCATACCGGCTCCTACTATCACAATTGTAGGACCGTCTTTCCGGCGCCCACGTTTCTGAACAGATGGGCATTTAGGTATATCGATACATCCGAAATTTATATACCCGTTTCGGACAAGCCAGTTATACGCAACTGACGCGAGAGGCATCCATCGAGAATCCTTTGCACATCCTAGCGCCTCGTCTTCGGTGACGCTGAGCATCGGGTTGCGTGACCATAGACGTAATATACCGTTCCGAATATTGAGGTATGCGGTGACATGTAGATGGCACAAGTGGTCCTGCAGCAGCTCCTGCTCGCCCTTGTGAAGAGAATATGGATTTAACCTAGAGATATACGCCGACTCCACACATTGCTGCCCATACACGGCTGATGGGATGCGTGTAGGTATGGAAGACCTCGGCTTGACCCTGTGTAATAGAGCAGCATAGTCCGTCGCCTCCCTCTCAAGGGGTGATGAAGAGGCTAGCGCAGCTTGTTTTAACTGCGCATCTGGTGCTGGAGAACAAGCAGAAGGTAATTGCGATGATACTGATGTTGAGGGTGTCGATCCACTGGGAGGCGCATCATGGCCGTCTCCTTCACCTCCCCCGAGCCCGGTTTCCTTCGATAGCTCACTGAGGCCGGTAGAACTAGATAATGATGGAGGAATCGAAGATGACAGCGACGAAGTCTTGCTGTCTGATGCATTCGAGTCCTGGCTCCCTTCTTTTCCCCTTGGTGCGATATCTGCGCCGGCTGCCATGTCCTCCCCTGATGCGAGTGGCAATGCGGCCACGGATGCTGTTTCCATGCTCTCTGCAGGTTCAGCCGGCACATCCTTATCCTGCCCATCTGCATCAGTATCCTGAACATGCAGAGCGTCGTCCATGGTGCGGTGCCAGGGGCATAGAGCGGCTTTGGTGTTGCGATGTAGCGGTTCGTGGATTTGCGGCGAGAAAAAAGGTCGACGTCGTCCATGGTGGAGAAACCTTAATTCTAACCTCTTTATCAATGTCACTTTTTCTATGCGATCATGAAGACATCAACGGCGCCGTGAAGACAGACATCGACAGAATGGCACCGATGGGATCAGTGACCCTGGTGGAGGTTGATTTACATGCAAAGATTTATTACCCCCAATCCACCCGGCTATAAGTTAAGTATCCAACTCTACCTAGTAACTCCTGTCGAATCTATACACCAGTAGCCAAACCACCATAGAAATATTCAAGGCATATACAAGTTAACGATATCATTTCATGAGAAGCAACAAGAGGCCATCGGTTTCTATCTCGGGTCCACATGGCGGTGCAGCTTATACGTCTCGTCTTTATCATCCCCGTCTCCATCAGCAAAGATATCCGACTCGTTGTCCGTAAAGTCGTGATAACTTGGATCGAGTGCAACATTATCATCATCAATGTCGATGGCTACAGCATCGTCGAAACCAACTGCCTCTTCTTCATCTCTTGCGAGGGAGCTAGAATTTGGATCATCGGCAAACCCACCTGGCGAAGCAGTCGTTGGTCGATTATTGGGGGTTGGACCACGGAGGTTGGCGCGCTCCTCAGCCTCAAGCTGTTTAGCACGGGCAAGAGTGCTAATAACCGCGGAATTATTAGCAATAGTTGGATTTGCTGAAGAGAACAAAAATATGAAACACATACCGTTTGTAGATGTACCAGCCTGTGAAGACACCGGCTGCAACGCTCACAAGAATACTAATAATGTTGACTGCCTTGGAGCCGGCACTCATTTCTCCCCCATCCTCGGACAATATTCTGAGCCTGCTTCCGATAAAGGTCGGGACAAGAAACTTTGGTGAGATGATGGCCGTTGCAAGGCCGTACATGAGCGGACTCACGGTTGGGAAAGTCGAGACTGCACCGTTGCATAGTGAGTACGGCAAGGGACATAAACGAATCATGCATAATAGCTTTAAGCCATCATACTTAAGGGTCAACGACAAAGCAGCGAATCGTTTGTCATGCTTCATAAGTCTTTGTACAAACTTGGACAAGACGGTACGCGAGACATAAAACGAGCATGTTGACCCAATAACGGTGGCAGATGCATATATCGCCCATCTATTAAGTAATAACAATAACAGTGTTAGATCAACGAACTGTCCTCGGAAAATAGCAGTAAAACGAGCATATACGTACCCCTTCCATACACCGAATATGAAGC